GCTTAAAGAAACACACAGCACGCAGGGTCCGAAGACACATTTGTTTCAATATAGGGTGCTCGTTTGTTTGTTAAAGTTGCGAAAACACGAGCGGTGCGGTTTAGGCTTAACAACGGCGGCGTGTCCGGCAAAAAACGATGCCGGTTTGTCGGCATTATGTTCCTCATCTCCTCCTGGAAGCCACCTGCATTATCTTTTGATGACCTGATTGCAGGCGTGGACTCTCAAGGGGACCTTCCCCTCGACGCCACAGAAGGAACTTGGTGTTCCTCAGTGAAGAAGCATGTTGCTTTCCAGCAACGGGAAGTACTTTAAGTATAGTGTACTTAAAGCACTACTTCAAGAAGGTTTAGAAAACCTTGCTTCGCTCTAAGTAGATTCTCTGAGTATGTACTTGTAGTTTACTTAAAGCATTTTTTTTTGTATTTGTTTAGGAACATACAGCTTCCGACTTCGAAGCACACCTTCAAATTTGGTGGGTAATAACTATACCCCATGCACTGTGTAAAGCGATAGTAAATACAGGGGGAAGACCGTGTTGATCTGGACAGTGTCTTCTTGAGCTCGGTGAAATTAAGCTCTTTCCAGCACTACGTGCTCGCGTCTTTGGTTTTCCCAGTACTACACACAACTTTTGAGGACGAGTGTAAGGGCTCACCAACCTCTAACAACAAAAGAATGGCGTATCGACTTGTGAAAACGCGCTATCGTCTTTCGAAACGTCATCAGGTCATTTCTTTGAGTGAAGCAATGACAGGTATAATACCGATACAAAAAAGTGTCTTATGACCTTATTGCGTTAAATAAATCAATGTGGCAATGCAGGCGTGTTGGGTCATGATTACAACTAGTAGCAGTGCGCAAAAACACAAGAACAAAGGGAGAAATTCACAAGACGAGCGCTGAACTTTAACTGAACGTTAAATAAAAGAACATACCCAAGTAAACAACCACACCGTTATCGCATCAACGCTCAATATAAGCTATTTATTTTTTATACATATACGCCGAAGTCTGGCAACACAATTATCTCCCTCCTTTCCTATCAACTACGCCTTGAGCAATTCTCTTAGAGTTTTGTCACCCCCTTTCCCCACAATCGTAATATATTCAAAATTCGGCTGACACATGAAAGTGGTACAGTGTAAAGGAGTCTAAAGTGGCGAAGCGGGCGAGTTGGTTCATGATATAAAATTTAAAAGCGCTAACAAAGACTAGGACAAAAAGGGAGGCGAACAGGACGAGCGCTTACTCTCAACTGAACATTTATTTAAAAACAGCTAAAGCAAACAACCTCCGACAAAAATACACTGAATCACTGAGTGGCGTCAGTCATCACCACATGTCAATAAAATCACTCTCTTTTTGGTGCAGAAAAATTGACGGCTGGCTGACGCAGCCTTCAGTGCCCTCCTTCTTTATAGCATGCGCTTCAAGCACTTCCCTCGCAGCTTTTTCACGAGCCCTCCCCACGATCGTGGTATTTTGAAAGTTGGGCTGGCACAGAGAGTCTCTGCAATGAAGAGGCAAGTGTCCTCCAGGTGTTCAGCGCAAAGCCAGGTCATGCTCCCGCATCCTCTCATTTACGCACCGTCCTGTCAGGCCGATATACGCCCTACCGCATGTCAGCGGTATTCTATACACCACGCCCACGTCACAATCTACAAATCTTTTGGCATGATTGACGGTGCATAAGCGCGCGTCGTTCTTTTTTTCCTGAATCCGTGGGCATAATTGGGCCAATTTACATGGCGCCGAAAACACAAGCGGCACATCAAATCTTTCTGCCACCTTTTTCAAGTTATTCGAAATTTTGTGCAAGTAGGGGATGACCTGAGGTCTCGTTTTTGTTTTTTCTTTTTTACCCTCAAACTTGCCCTTGATCTTCAGTAGCGTCTCGGCAACTCCAAGCAAAAGCGATATTGGATAGCCGGCATCTCTAAGTCAACTAACCTGCCGGCCGAAGCTGTCACGCATAACATGGTGGCATGACTTCTGAAGTGCCGCTTGGAAACAAGTCTCAGCAATACCCCTTTTTACTATTTTAGAATGTGCCGAATCATAGGCGAGGATTCCCTTTTTGGAGCGCGGGGGGTAACTCAAACACACATGGTTTCCCGTGAACTGCAGTCTCAAGTCTAGAAATTGAAGAAACTGGCCGTCCGGGAGTTCGCGAGTGAAATTTAAGCCATTTGAGTGGTCATGAAACACTTCTAGCACACTCTTAACAACCTGGCGCGTCAAAAGGTTGTAAAAACGTTGCCATAGCACCAAATAGTCGTCCACATACCGAGCAACCTACCACACTTGTTTTCCTTCCAAGCGAATCTGAACATTTCGGTCGAACTTGCCTAAGAAAATGTCACAAAGGACAGGGGCGACGCAAGATCTTCTACAAATACCTGCCTTTTGTACATAATAACTGCCCTCAAAAAGAATGAAGGTGGACTGCAGGTAAAATTTCGAAAGTTTCATAAAACCGCCCAACAAGTAAGCCTCTTTTTGCAGAAACACCTGAGCACTCTGGAGCTGAACGATCCTTTTTTGGTAAAAAAACTCTCAGACCATAGTGGAGTTTCTTGAGAGGGGCACTACGGGGGACGTTGTAGCTTTTTCTGTTGACGTAGAAGATCTTTTTTACTCGGCACCTCACGGGGAGCTGTTTGTTGCTGTACGTGAGAGCATCGAGGAAAATGGTGTTGTCGGCTTCCAAATCGCTTGTGGTGTAGGGTTGGGCGGTTTTATGGAACTTTTGAAATTTTACCTGCAGTCCACCTTCATTCTTTTTAAGGGCAGTTATTATGTGCGAAAAGCAGGTATTTGTATAGGATCTTGCGTCGCCTCTGTTCTTTTTGACATTTTCGTAACCAAGTTCGACCGAAATGTTCAGATTGGCTTGGAAGGAAAACAAGTGTGTAAGGTTGCCCGGTATGTCGACGACTATTTGGTGCTATGGCAACGTTCTGACAACCTTTTGACGCGCCAGGTTGTTAAGAGTGTGCTAGAAGTGTTTCATGACCACTCAAATGGCTTAAATTTCACTCGCGAACTCCCGGACGGCCAGTTTCTCCAATTTCTAGACTCGAGACTGCAGTTCACGGGAAACCATGTGTGTTGGAGTTACCCCCCGCGCTCCAAAAAGGGAATCCTCGCCTGTGATTCGACACATTCTAAATTAGTAAAAATGGGTATTGCTGAGACTTGTTTCCAAGCGGCACTTCAGAAGTCATGGCACCATGTTATGCGTGACAGCTTCAGCCGGCAGGTTAGTCGACTTAGAGATGCCGGCTATCCAACATCGCTTTTGCTTGGAGTTGCCGAGACGCTGCTGAAGAAGATCAAGGGCAAGTTTGAGGGTAAAAAAGAAAAAAAAACAAAAACGAGACCTCAGGTCATCCCCTACTTGCACAAAATTTGGCATAACTTGAAAAAGATGGCAGAAAGATTTGATGTGCCGCTTGTGTTTTCGGCACCATGTAAGTTGGCCCAATTATGCCCACGGATTCAGGAAAAAAAGAATGACGCGTGCTTATGCACCGTCAATCATGCCAAAAGATTTGTAGATTGTGACGTGGGCGTGGTGTACAGAATACCGCTGACATGCGGTAGGGTGTATATCGGCCAAACAGGACGGTGCGTAAATGAGAAGATTCGCGAGCATGACCTGGCTTTGCGCTGAACACCTAAAGGACACTTGCCTCTTCATTGCAGAGACTCTCTGTGCCAGCCCAACTTTCAAAATACCACGATCGTGGGGAGGGCTCGTGAAAAAGCTGCGAGGGAAGTGCTTGAAGCGCATGCTATAAAGAAGGAAAGCACTGAAGGCTGCGTTAGCCAGCCGTCAAATTTTCTGCACCAAAAAGAGAGTGATTTTATTGACATGTGGTGATGACTGACGCCACTGAGTGATTCAGTGTATTTTTGTCGGAGGTCGTTTGCCTTAGCTGTTTTTAAATAAATGTTCAGTTGAAAGTAAGAGCTCGTCCTGTTCGCTTCCCTTTTTGTCCTCGTCTTTGTTAGCGCTTTTAAATTTTATAAAGGAGTCTGTTTTGCTGGGGGCGGTGGAGAAATTACTAAGGAAGTTAAAAATGTGACCCCATCAACCCAAAGAAAGACCCGAACAAAAGACCTCAAGTGACCCCTTATAAGCATAAAATTTCTCACAATATGAAAATGCTAGCGGGCAGGTAAGACGTGCCGGTCGTCTCTTCGGCGCCTAGTAGGTTGTAACATTGCCCCAAAGAGGCTGACAAAGGGAACAAAGGTAACAAGTATTCTGTAAAATAGAACAACTAGATCCAGCTTAGAGAAAAACTTCTTACGGCCCACCTTGGCGAAGGTGACGTCCGCTCTTGGAATCGGCTCTGCGTCTACCTTAAGCACGTCGTTTAATTTTCTGTAATCAACGCAAAACCTCTTAGAACCGACTTTCTTTCTAACAATTACAACCGGCGCATTATACGGTAATGTGCACCGTTCAATAACGCCCAGTCGGAGCATTTCCGCGACCTCCTTTTCGACTGTCTCTTGGGCGGAAATTGGCAACGCATGTTGCCTTATCCGCACAGGCTCCTCGGTGGTCAATTTCATGTCGCACGTGATCAAGTTAGTCTGACCTGGAAGATCTGAAAATATTCTCTTATACTCTTCGATCAACCTCCACGCCTCAACTTTCTCTTCATCATCCGGGTTGTCGTTGACCGTGACCCCTTTCCAGTAATGTACAGTCACTTTCTCAAGCGTTGATGCCTTGTTGGCATCCCCAGCAAGTGTAGCCTCCCCATGGCCCTGGGTTGCCGCGCTGCAGCTTGGCTGCCTCCGGTCGACCTCGAACCTCTCTTGATATCTTTTCAGCATATTCACGTGGAATACCTTCTTGTGTCCTCCAACATCGAGCTCGTAGTCCACTTCGTTCTTTCAGCAGGATACTACAAATGGTACTTTCCACTACATTAAACCTTGTTGTGGTCGCTTGGTAGGAGAATGAGGGCCAAGTTCCCTTATTTCAACTGTCGCTTGACGCTATTTTTGCGATAGTGCTCCTTGTATTTGATCTTGGCCTTTTCCAAGAAGCGGTGAGCCAACTCGCATGTTCTTTGTAGTCTCTCTCTTAGCTCCAGTACGTGACCGTAGGACGTCCTCACGTCGTCTTCGAGCGCCTCGTTGGTCCAGATCTCCTTAAGGATGGCCGAAGGTCCCTGAACTCTTCGGTCGTATAGTGGTCAAATGGCGAAAACTTTAGGCTTGCCTGTGACACTTCTCTGGAGGCGAACAGTAGTGCCGGTAGGTACCTGTCCCAGTCCTTGGGACTTTCTTGACACATTCGTCTAATCATCTGTTTGATGGACCCATTGAATCTTTCCATCAATCCGTTCCCCATCGGATAATAGGGTGTAGTCATGAGATGCTTCATGGACAGCAGCCGGCTTACCCCTTTCATGAGGTTTGACGTGAAGGAGGAACCTCTATCGCTAAGGACTTTATTTGGGATTCCATACCTAGAGAACATTTCTACAAAGGGTCCTGCCACTTTCTCCGTGCCGATGGTTCTCAATGGGACAGCATCCGGATACCTTGTGGCAACCTCCACCATGGTCAGAATATATCGGTTGCCCGAATTCGCAGATGGGTTGATCGGACCGATGATGTCGATCGACACTCTCTTGATAGGTGCCTCAATGACAGGCATTGTCCCAAGAGGCGCTTTGCCTACTCTGCCTTTTGGCACCGTGCGCTGGCATACATCGCAGGAATGCACATACCTCATGATGTCCCTCTGCATGCCCTGCCAAGAGAACTCTTCAGCCGTTAGCGCGAGCGTGTTCTTCGCGCCTTGGTGGCCTGAAATGACACCATCGTGTGCCAATGCTATTACACTTGTTCGGAATCTTGCTGGGAGAGCCAGCTGCTCTATACTCCTCCCGGTGGAAAATATACAGCTCCGAAAGGGCAGGTTGTTCTTGATCACCATTTCATACTTCGTATGACACTTGTGTTTCTTTACCACCTTTTCGACCTTGTCAAAACATTTCCTCAAGAACGCATCGTTCCTCTGCTCTGTCGAAAGCTTCTCGAATGTCGTCTCGAGAATCGGAACCTGTGGCACATTCAGTGGAGGTTCCGCTTTGTTCCCACGCTTATTCTTCGTTGACTCTCCCAGTCCCGCAGTACTTGAAGGCGGAATTATCAATCCCAAATACGTGTTTTCCAAGTCGTCCGGAGAAGCTTCCTTGTGGTCCTTTCTCTCTGGTACCTCGTCTTTCTTGTCCAGCTGGTGACCAACATTCTGGACATTAGGTGTCTTCATCTCGTCGCTTCGCTGTTGATCGCATCCCCAATGTGGGTTCGAATCGTTGAGATCTATCACTTGCGGAAGATCGCCGAGCACTAAGTCGTATAGGGGATTGTCAATGAACTTCGCCACGATTTTTCCTGCCAGAAAGGGTGTGTTGATCACAATTTCCGCCTCAGGTAAGTATTTCACTGTTCGGTCCAGTAAATATACGGGGCTACAGTTCCCAGTGTAGCACCCAACGGGCACCAAGTTCTTTCTTACGACTACTGTATTGCAGCCGGTGTCCCGAAGTACCGTAACTTTTCTCGCGCCAATGCGGCCCTTGACCACAGGCATATTCTTCACCAGAACCTTGGATGGCCTTCCTACAGCTGCGTTAACCACTGGTATTTTGTAGCCGTTCTTTACGTGAGGTAGGTCTCGTCTGGTTCGCCTGCCGTTTCGTCGGAGGTTGTTTACAGGCAAAAACCTTGTCGTTTATCGCCAGCCCTCATAGTACATTTGTCGGCCTTCCGTCCCATCCGGCCACAGTGCCAACTTGTCGATGGTTTGTATTGTTGATTTCGACCCTTGGAATTCTCTGCTTTGTGTCCTAAATTATTGCATAAAAAGCATCGGAGGATCCTCCTTGTGTCTTCTCTGACGACGTTAGGGACTGTCCTTGGACTGGTTTTCGGGTCTTGTCCCTCTACCTTTGCTTTTAAAGCCCTTGGTCGAGTCTGCGCTTCCAGAAATACGTCGGCTTTATGAGCCAAGTCATCTAGGGTCGAGCAGTCTCTTTCTTTGAGAAAATCCATGAGCTTACTACCGCAAGTTGTCATGAACTGCTCTATTAGCATTCTGTCCCGGACAGCCTCCAAAGTCTTCTCGATTTCTGCTACTTCGATTCACCTATCGAAATACCCCGTCAACCTGGCTGCAAATTGTTTTCTTGCTTTCCCGTCCCCGGGCTTCGTCTCGCAGAATCTTTCATGATAACCTTCTTTTGTGTACCGGAATCTTTGAAGCAGCGCCAGTTTCATCTTTGTATAATCTATCGACCGACCACAGTCAGGACTTCTCCTGTGAGGCAAAGACTTAAAGTGGTTGCCCACTTGTCCTGTAACCATCTAAGGCCTGTGGCCGTACACTCAAACCTCTGCAAATACGCGTCGAGATCGTCGCGCGTCTCATTATACTGCGGTATTGGTTTGTGTGGACTGGCCCTCTGACTTGATCCAGTCGAACCACCTTCTCCTCCTTCGCCTCGTGTTTCGCAATTTCCTCTTTCCTGAACCATGATTCTGAGTTGTAGCACTTCCCGTTCCTTATACAGTCGGACACATTCCGCTTGACATGCGCGTTCTTGCGCCGCACATGCGCGTCCTTGCGCCGCGTGCTCTTCTCTTGCTGCCTCCCGTGCCTGCAGCCTTTCCTCTCTTCGAATATTTTTCTCCCCCTCAACCCAGACCTTAAGCTTGTCTTCAGTGTATCCTAGTTCCCTCCCAGCCGCCATCAATTTATCAATCTCTACAACCCCGTACCCAGTCACGGTCGCGAACTCTTCTCTGGAACAACAGATCAGGCCAGCGTATTAATGGAATCCTGGCAGGCTCGCCAAATTGTCATCGTCAATCAGAAAAAGAGAGAAACGACATCCATGAGAGGATCGAAAAAAGAAATGATATATTTAAAAGGAGGAAGATAGGAGCGTGCCAGAAGCGAAACCATAGGAAAAGAATTAGCAATAAGAAAAGCAAAACACTGAAGGCAGTTAAAGTGACGCCATCACACTGATAGCCCGTTCCCGCTACCGTCTTTTCATTAAGTTCAAGTCTTTCCCCTCGGTGTCTTGCGGAGCGCTACCGCTTGATGTGATGATGTAGAAGCCGGTGTCTCGTACTCTCCCTGGAGTTGTTCGTAGCAGCCGTCGCCGACCGTAGTGGCTGGTCCTCCCTCACAGCTCTGGCCGTCACCGTGCGTCGCGGCCCGACCCTGGCTTTCACCGCTGCTTCTCGTCTCGCGCTCGCCGTTGCTTGGAACGCACTCGCTCCCTTCCGCTTCTTTTTTTCTTCCACCCGTAATAATCGTCACCAGAACATGGCAGCATTCTATAAAGGATTATATCTATTGATCAATGAGAAATAAAGGCAGTGGAGCAATGACTCTACGAGCGTAAGACCATTCTTCCGTCTATCTTTAAATGTTAAAGAGAATATGTCACATGAGTTTCGGAATTGGATACTCTCTCCCAAAGTGCGCGCTAGATCTTACTTTTAATCTGGATAAAACCTAGTACATTTCGAAGCAAGGTCCTATTCTCGAATATTACGGCGAACAAAGCGTTGCTGCTACATACTTTATCGAAGCAGTTAATAACTAGAGAAATGGGGGGAGTATTTAGGTACAGTGTTCTTAAAGCACTAGTTCAGAATGATTTAGAAAACTTTGCTTTTCTTAAATACATTCTCTGAGTAAGTACTTTTTTTGACGCAGAAGTAGACAACGCACGGAAATTTCGTGAAGAGAACCTCATCGCAAACGGAACCACCCTAGACAAGAAAACTAGTATATGGTTCGGTTTCTTTTTCTTATTTTTTTCAGAAGATTTCGAAACGCGTTTTTTTACTCACGCCGAACATCGTCGGACCTTCTGATCCTACGAGCCACGACTTTCTCACGTCCGTGCCGTCCGTTCCCGCACACGCTTTATCGAAGCAGCAGCGGCCGATGGCGCAGCCATCCTAAACACCGCACCGAGTTTCTCTGGCTAACCCCGATCCCCGATTCGGGTTGCATTCGGGTCCAGAGCAGGAACTCGTAACACTTTCCCCCCCAATTGCTTTTTCCGCATCTCACTCCTGGTCTTTCCCCACGACGCCCAATATTTCTTTTCACCCACACGCTGAAAGGCCGATGGGAGCTACCCGCTCGCCAGACCAATCTACTGCCTTCCCCTCATCACCTAACTTCGCTGTCTGCGCCTCGGTATGGGCGAGAGCCTGATCACGTGACGAAGGATAGACGTGTGATTGGTGCAACGGGCATTAAGTATCCAGTGCACTGTCAGCTTAGGACTGAGCGGAGTCAATCCCCTGAGCGCTTTACTCTCGCACCCAGGTAAAGCAGCCTGAATCCTGAAGCTCCGTCCTGGATACCTCACTATAATACTCTGGCATCCAGCCACTGATTTCTGGGCCGTGCACGCCACAATTTCTTTCCTTTTTTGTTTTTTTTTTTTTTGTTTTTGAGGCGCGCGTTTTTGGGGGTGTCGACGACGCTCGCCCGCTGATGCTGTTCTTATTGGCGCTTTTCCGTTGCTCCGTCTCTAACAGCGAAAACTGGCGGCGGTGCGTTTGGAAATCCGGGCATAAGTTCCCGGGGCTCCTCGCTCGGCGGTTGCCACGGCGACAGCGTAGGCTCGTTCGGGCTTCTCGGAGGTTGCGTCGAGATCGAAATTTCGGGAGGAAGGTCAATTCAGGAGGTCCCGGTAATATCGCGTCATTGAACGCCAAAAGAAAACGAAAGGAGCACAAAAAATAGGTACGGAGAAAGGGAGGATAAAGAAGGTAAACATGACCGAATAAGACGGGACAAAGGGGTGAGACCTGCATTGATCCTATGCCCCACCTCGCACGCGAAGGCGGCTGTACGCTTGGATTCGATCGTTACGAAACAACGCTTTATAAAAGGGCGATTATCTAGGGTGGTAAAAGAACTCGTGACCATTGGCTGGTTCTGTTGGGTCGTCGACGGTGGTACTGCAGAGGTGACAAAACATGCGGGTGGTGTTTTGGCGACGAGCTAAAGAAAAGATTGAGAGAAAAAAAAGAAGTAGTGGAGAGAATAATTAAAACAAAAATAACCGAATAAGCTGGCTTCCTCAACCCAATAACCATTTATCTATTCGCACGTTTTTTCTTCTGTTTTTTGTTTTTTTTTGCTTTTTGTTGAGAAGGGTGCTTGAAATGTTGATCGGTGGCCGGATGTCTGGGTTTGCACCATAGAAAGATGGGGAAGAAATTGAAAGATCGCGCGAATCCAAGAGGGTAATTTTCAGAACGCTTTAGACGTGATTTTAAGGATGTTCAAATGATCTACGGTGTACAATATCGAGTATCGCATTTAAAATAATTATTCTTGCTACTGTGTCAATATCTAAAAAAACGTTACCTCTAATACGAATATGCCGGTTTCAAGTCATTGGAAACCGTATTTGATCTCCCCAAAGTAGTTTCTCCTATAAGAGGTTTCTGACCTTCCTGGTCACTGTGCCTCAGATCCAGGCTAAATGAAGCCAAGAGGAAACATAAACTGCACTCATGTATAATGTTTATCATGTGCACAATGAACAGTGGCGTTTTTAGTTTTGCTGAGCGCTTGAAATAGTAGTCATCTATTGAACTGGAAAACTTGAAGTTATAACATAAAATATAAAAACAGGCAACTCTGGGATTTCCAAGATAATTGGCTGTTTTCATAGCGCTGGGAAGTGATTACTTGGAAAACTGCGAAGCTAGGTAGAAGACTTTTTGGGCATGAATTTCGAGTCATCGAAAACGTTCATTGGGCTACCTACGATAAATAAATGTTGGTAAATGCATTATATATTAGTTTTTTTTATTCTCTGTAACTACACCGAAGACCCCTCATAAACTATTGCAACGAACTCCCAGTGGGTCCTCAGCGCATCCCGCCAAGCTCTCGACGCTTGTTCACTTATCTTACGGTGCCCCATGTGACGGAGTCTTTCTTCCTGCACATTCGTGGGTTTCCCCGACGTGGGCACATTGCACCGAAGAAATCCCGAGACAAAAACTGAAGCATGCATTGGAGTGCTTGGAATGGCGGCGTAGCCTTCCACTTTAGCTGGAACCAGCTACGAAAAGAAACGCCGTCTGCACTTTCATTTAGCGGGGCTATGCTAGCGGCATTTTTCTTCCTTTTGTCGGCCATCGGAATTGGTATAGCAAGGGCCATGATTCGGAGTCATTTCTTCGCAGACGTGTAGAATAAAAATTTCTGCGCAAAAAAAGAAAATATATATATAGGAGTATATAAAGACATCGCCAAAATCACTACCGGACACTTGGAGACTGAGAAACGAACGTGGGGAGAAGACGCCGAAATGGCAAAGCATGAAGAGGTAGCGACACTCTGGCTAGCGATGTCGATGTCTGTGGTCTCAGTTGATTATTTTATTCGGCAGGGGTGACACCCCCCCCCCCCCCCCCCATCCTCCCCGCGCCCCGTTTTGGCCCCATTCGGTCCGTGAAAATAAATAAACTGGGAAAACGCGGCTGCGTTAAAAGGAAAATACGAGCGAACCGTAGGGACGTGATGGGAATCGCCCTTGT